TACATGCCAGGAGCTGTTGCAAGTGCTTTCTTTTTCTTTTTCTTTTTTTAAAAAAATATATATTTTATTGATTTTTCACAGAGAGGAAGAGAGAGGGATAGAGAGTTAGAAACATCGATGAGAAAGAATCATCGATCAGCTGCCTCTTGCACACCCCCCACTGGGAATGTGCCCGCAACCAAGGTACATACCCTTGACCGGAATCGAACCTGGGACCCTTCAGTCCGCATGCTGACGCTCTATCCACTGAGCCAAACCGGTCCCGGCTGCAAGTGCTTTCTAATGCAGCTGCTAGTCTCTGTAAAAATACATTTTTGTTGATTTCAGAGAGGAAGGGAGAGGGAGAGAGAGAAAAATAGATGAGAGAGAAACATTGATTGGCTGCCTCCTGCACACCCCACAATAGGGATCAAGCCCACAACCCGGGCATGTGCTCTGACTGGGAATCAAACAGGTGACCTCTCAGTGCATAGGATGATGCTCAACCACTAAGCCACACCGGCTGCAGCTGTAATTCTTATCTTCATTTTACAGGTGATGAAACTGAAGCATAGAGAGGTTAGGCCAGGGGTCGGCAAACTCATTAGTCACCAGAGCCAAATATTAGCAGTACAACGATTGAAATTTCTTTGGAGAGCAACATTTTTTAAAACTTAAACTTCTAACGCCACTTCTTCCAAATAGACTCGTCCAGGCCATGGTATTTTGTGGAAGAGCCACACTCAAGGCCCCAAAGAGGCGCATGTGGCTCGTGAGCCAGGGTTTGCAGATCACTGGGTTAGGCAATTTGGCCCAGGTCACCCAGTTTGTAAGTGGTAGCATTCAAACCCAGGTAACTTGATTACAGAAGTGATGCTCATAACTCCCAAGCCTCAGAGATGAATCAAATCCAGGTCCCGCCTTCTGGGAGATATAGTCCAATGGGGGAGACAGAAAAGTAGTCCCGTAGTTACAATACAGGGCGATAAATTTACTGCCAGCTGCTTTACACATTATCTAATTTAATCCTCACAATGTGACTGTAAAGAAAGGTGTTTCAGGAAGAGGAAATAGCAAGTGCTAAGTTCTAGGCACAAGAGTTTGCTTTGTATTTTTTTAATATATTTTATTGATATTTTACAGAGAGGAAGGGAGAGAGATAGAGAGCTAGAAACATCGATGAAAGAGAACCATTGACCAGCTACCTCTTGCACACCCCCTACCGGGGATGTGCCTGCAACCAATGTACATGCCCTTGACCGGAATCGAACCTGGGACCTTTCAGTCCACAGACCGACGCTCTATCACTGAGCCAAACCGGTTTTGGCTGCTTTGTATTTTTAAAAAAAATATATTTTATTGATTTTTCACAGAGAGGAAGGGAAAGGGATAGATAGTTAGAAACATCAATGAGAGAGAATCATCTACTAGCTGCCTCCTGCACACCCCCTACCAGGGATGTGCCCGCAACCAATGTACATGCCATTGACCGGAATCGAACCTGGAACCTTTCAGTCCGCAGGCTGACACTCTATCCACTGACCGAAACCGGTTTCGGCGGCTTTGTATTTTAAGGAAGAGCAAGGAGGTCAGTAGCTAGAGTGAGATGAGACCACAGAGGTTGGAGGAAGGGACATGCAGATCATGGTAGATGCACTAGGCACTGGTAGAGACCCCGGATCTTACTCCTAGTGAGGTCAGAAGCCAGCGGAGGGTTCTGCAAAGGAGTTACAGGATCTGCTTTATAATTTTTGGGGTCTTAAAAAAATATGTTTTTATTGATTTTGAGAGGGGAAGGGAGAGGGAGAGAGAGATAAAGCATCAAGGTGCACAGAGATGAAATGGTTTGCCTAAGGCTATGCAACTACCCATCTGTCCTAGCCAGACACTGTCCTAGGCACTGGGTGCACAGTTGTGAAAAATAAAAACAGCTGAGAGACAATAAGCAATACTTTTAATACATTAGTATCTTATTCACTGTGTTAGAAGGAAAATAAATGTACATAAAAGTAAGTACAGTCTGCCGAAACTGGTTTGGCTCAGTGGATAGAGCATCGGCCTGTGGACCGAAAGGTCCCAGGTTCGATTCCAGTCAAGGGCATGTACCTTATTTACGGGCACATCCCCAATAGGGGGTATGCAGGAGGCAGCTGATTGATGTTTCTAACTGTCTCCCTTCCTCTCTGTAAAAAAATCAATAAAATATATTTTTAAAAAAATAAGTACAGTCAACCCTTTGTACCTATGGATTCTGCCACCTGGGGTTGGGGATCCTCAGATGTGGAGAACCAATGGTAATCATTGTTCTACACCATCTATATACTCTGAATGGCCAGATTATTATGATCTCTGAACGCATAATAATCTGGCCACTCAGTGTGTGTGTGTGTGTGTGTGTGTGTGTGTGTGTGTGTATATAAGGCCCGGTGCATGAATTTGTACATGGGTGAGGTCCGGCCAGCCTGGTCAGGGGGAGGAGACATGAGCAATTGGCCAGCTGCCTGCTGGTCGAACTCCTGGTTGAGGGGACAATTTGCATATTAGCCTTTTATTATATAGGATATATATTGAGTGGCCATATTATTCGTTCAGATATCATAATAATCTGGCTACTCAGTGTATATAAAAGCCTAAACAACCATCTGACCGTTCAACTGCTAGCTATGATGTGCACTGATCACCAGGGGGCAGGCGCTCAACACACAGGCATGGAAACAGAGGGTAGGGGGTAAGGGGAGGTTAGGAAGAGATTAACCAAAGCTCTTATATGCCATTGCATGATATTCGTGCAAGAATAGGCCTTCCTTCCCCTGGCTTCACTCCCAGCCAATCGGAAGCTGGCACATCCCCCTGCTCTGGGCCCACCCAGGAGCCTGCAAGTCCTTGCTCTTTGGCGGCTGGGAGCCAGCAAGTCCTTGCTTCTGTCTGGAGCACCACTCCAGTAGCTCCCTCCACCACCCCCTTCTCTTCACAGCAAGCTTCACTCTGCTCTGCACCTGTGTATGCAAATTAACCTCCCATCTTTGTTGGATTAATTTGCATACTCACTCTGATTGGCTGTGGGCGTTGCAGAGTGATGGTTAACTTATATGTTTCTCTTTTACTGGGTAAGATTAGAGGCCTGGTGCCTTGGCCCAAAGTCAAGTCTCTTCCTGTGGTAGGCAATTGGTGCCATTTGCCAACCACACCCAAGGACAGATGAAGTTAAGAGAATAAATCACATCAGCATAAAGCTGACCAGTATTCTACTGAGATCCTCCTCTAGGATCTCCCCTAAATCCCCACCCTTTATTACACCTCTAAGGGGGGAGGGTTTGAGCCTGAGCTCTCTCTCTCCCAGGAGCACGCCCAGTACCTTTCTCCTCCTCCTCCTCCTCCTTTTCCTCCACAGGCATGCATCTCCTAAACTGTAAGGGACCCCAGGAAGTTTGCAACCAGGGTAGCAATGGACAGCATCAGTTTGTCCTGGCAAACCCCTAAACTTGTCCCCAAGACCCCCCCCCCCCCCTTTTACTAACTCCTTAGTGAACCCAGGCAGCCCAGCCTCGGCTCATTTTCCGACCTAATATTTCTAGTATCCTAGGTCCTTCCTTGTTTCACTGTCCCCAGCATTTAAAAAAAAAAATAGATTTTTATTGATTTCAGAGAGGAAGGGAGAGGGAGAGAGAGATAGAAACATCAATGATGAGAATCATTGACTGACTGCCCTGCGCACCCTGACTGGGAATGGAGCCAGCAACCTGGGCTCATACCCTGACCAGAAATCAAACCATGACCTTCTGATTCACTGGTCAATGCTTAACCATTGTGCCACAACAGCCAGGCATTGTCCCAGCTTTAATAAATGTCCTCTAAAATTCACCTGGATTCATGTTGTGAATTTTTTTCTGTACAAAATCAAGAAGCAACACACAACTGGCTGGCCCTTGACAGACCCCAAGGACCAGGTCCCCTTCCCCCAGCCCACTTTACCTCTTGGTAATCGTCATACTGTTGCCGGTGTCCATGAAGTTGGATCTTTTCACCATTTTCACAGCAATTACCTTTTACTCGTAGACTCATCTTTCTGGTCCTGGTGGAGAAAATAGACTTTAGGGAGACAAGAATAGGAACAGGTCAACCTGTTAACTGGTGTGACCTGAGCTAAAACGTTAGCACTGGGGAAGTGAGAAATGGTTAGGTTCACTGTGAAGGGAGAGTTTATGGGGATTGCTAATGAATTGGATTTGTGGGGTTTGAGAGGAGTTCGGAATAACGCCAAGGTTTTGGGATCAGTAAAGTTGCCATTAACTGAGATGGGGTGACAGAGTAGTTTAGGGGTATGTGCCCTGCCACAGAGTTCAAGGGCTCCATAGGCACTGAAGGCACAGAAGCTCTTTTCTTTTTTTAAGCTAGAATTTTAAAATCCAATTTATTGTATATATCCAATTTTCTTGTTTAAAGTGTATGTCCTTTTGCTCCATTGACCCCCTCCAGCCCACACCCATCTCCCACCCCAGGCCTTCAGCACCCTATTGTTTGTGTTCATGGGTTATGCATACATGCTTGCATGGTCTTTGGTTGATCACCTCCCACCCACCTACCTTCCCCCGCCTTCCCTTACAGATTCCGAACTCTGTTCCACCAGAAACTCTTTTCTTTCTGAGCGCTTCTATTATTGATTATCAGCGTCCGGATCATAGCGGAGTGATCAATATTGGCTCAATGCTTACATAAGCAAACAGGACAAGCCTGTTTGCTTTGTTTTTAGTAAAATCATCTTTACTGGGGAAGAACCCGGTTGCATGCACGCCCACGGGACTCCCGCCTGCGTGAGCTCCATCCCCAAAGGACCGCTGAGAAACTGCGCGGGGCTTTTCTGCGCATGCGCGGCGCATCTGCTGGGCGGGGCCTCGGCGGCCGATGACGCCGACGCAGGAGCCTTGTGACGCAGCTGCGCGCTGAGGCGGGGAGACACCGCCGGGAGCCCAGCCCGCCCCCAGCCCGCCCCCAGCCCGCCCTCTTCCTTTAAGGCCTCCGGCATGGAAACATCCGAACCACGTGCCGGAAACCAGCTCACGCCGACGCCGGCGCGCCACTCCTTGTCGTTTGGCGCCGAGCTGCCGCCCATATCATCGCGAGACCAGCTCGCCGAAATGGCCGCGTCCACCCAAGGTAAGAACGTGCACGCGCGCCGCCGGCGCCGCGGCAGCCACCACCCTGGGCTGCGGGAGGGGGAGGCTCCATAGCCCAGCAGAGCTCCCCCGGGAGCCCTAACCGCGCAGGGACGGGGCGGGCCCCCGGGGTTTGCCCCCGTCCCGGGCCGTTCCCTGGGTCCGGCCAAGGTCAGGCGCCAGTCCGGGGCCGATCGGCCCGGGGTGTTGCCTCCTGTTGGGCTCAGACTTCCGGCGCCGCCCCCCCAAACCGAAGCCCGGAGACATTCCGTCCCTGTTTCTCGGTAGGTCTGGCACTTTGAGACGAAAGCGGCTTATTTGTCTCTCGGAACGCACAAGGAAGATTCCCAATCCCAATAATATCTACGCAGGGGAATACGTCTTTAAATCGTGCTCTGACCGTACTTTGAATGCTTCATCGTTATAGTCAATTCAGTACTTGTTTACAAGATTCAAGTAGTAAACAGAGCCATGTGGAACAGACTGGCAATCCTCAGAGGAAGGGGGTTGGGGTGGGTGGAAAGAGATTAACAACAGAATTTATATGCATAACCCATGGACGTAGCATCTGTAATACTTTATTTTAAAAAATATATATTTTATTGATCTTTTTACAGAGAGGAAGGGAGAGGGATAGAGAGTCAGAAACATCGATCAACTGCCTCCTGCACAGCCCCCACCGGGTTTGTGCCTGCAACCAAGGTACATGCCCTTGACCGGATTCGAACCCGGGACCTTCCAGTCCGCAGACCGATGCTCTATCCACCGAGCCAAACCCGTTTCGGTAACATCTGTAATACTTTAAACAAATATAAAAATAGTTTTTATTGCCAAAACCGCTTTGGCTCAGTGGATGGAACGTCGGCCTGAGGACTCAAGGGTCCCAGGTTCGATTCTGGTCAAAGGCATGTACATTGATTAGGGACACATCCCCAGTGGAGGGTGTGCAGGAGACAGCTGATTGATCCTCTCTCATCATCAATGTTTCTAGCTCTCTGTTCCTTTCCCTTCCTCCCTATAAAATTCAGTAAAATATATTTTAAAAAATAGTTTTTATTTATTTCAGAGAGGAAGGGAGAGGGAGAGACACATCAATGAAGAGAATCACTGATAGGCTGCCTCCTGCACGCCCCCTACTGGCAATGGAGCCCATAACTTGGGCATGTGCCCTTACTGGGAATCCAAGGGTTACCTCCTGGCTCATAGGTCAATGCTCAACCACTGAGCCACACCATCCAGGCTAACGATACATTTTAAAAAGTCAATTAATATAAACTTAAAATTACATAAATTATGCCCTGGCTGGTGTGCTAGTGTGGCTCAGTGGATAGAGCATCTGCCTGTGGATTGAAGGGGGTCCCCACTTCAATTACCATCAAGGGCACTAGCCCAGGTTGCAGGTGGGGGACGTGCAGGAGGCAGCTGATCAATAATTCTCATCATTGTTTCTCTCCCTCTCCCTTCCTCTCTGAAACCAATTTAAAAAATTACGTAAATTATGTTAAAACAAAGACAGTGAAAATAGTCAAAACTTATCACTTTATTATTTGCCACGTTTTACTGTGATTTATACTCTTAAGGCTATTTACAATTAATGTATCTATGTGGTGGAAGTAGCAGTATGCTGCACTACTGTATCTCAGTGATGTCACAATTCAGTGATGTCACACAATGAGTGAATACACCAAGGAAATGGGCACACACTACAAATCAGCCCTCCCCCCAAAACTGGTTAAACATTTATAAACATACCACTGAATATAGGTGACTAAGGGATTGTATTGCTCCCCAGCCACAGATTGCTTTTGGAGAGGAGGAAAGAGGGAGAGAGAGAGGAGAGAGAAGAGGGAGAGAGGAGAGGGAGAGGGAGAGGGAGAGGGAGGGGGAGGGAGAGGGAGAGGGAGAGGAGGGAGAGGAATTGGGATCTATAATCCATCGTGAATTAATTCTTGAATTATATTTTGTGTATGGTATCTAAGGTAGGGATTGAAGTTTTTGTTTTTACAGACACCTAATCTTTTTTTTAAAATATATTTTTATTGATTTTTTACAGAGAGGAAGGGAAAGAGAGAGCTAGAAACGTCGATGAGAGAGAAACACCGACCAGCTGCCTCTTGCACACCCCCCACTGGGGATGTGCCCGCAACCAATGTGCATGCCCTTGACCGGAATCGAACCTGGGACCCTTCAGTCTGCAGACCGACGCTCTACCACTGAGCCAAACCAGCTTCGGCGACACCTAATAGTTGTAATACAATTTGTCGAAGAGTTTCATTACCCATTTAATTACCTTGTTGCCATGTTTCAAAAATCAAATGACTATATGTGTATCCTTAGGTCAATTCTACACTATGTCAAACTTGGTAGCTTTGTAAGTCTTGAAATTCTTTGACCTTTGTTCTTTCCACTCCAAAATTGCTTTGGTCACTTATGGCACTTTGTGTTTTCCTAAATCAGTGGTCGGCAAACCGTGGCTCGCGAGCCACATTCGGCTCTCAAGCCGCGGTTTGCCGCTCTGTTGACTAATGAGTTTGCCGACCACTATCCTAAATGATTGCAGCAACATCCTCCATTCCACATGCTTTTTTTCACTATGACTTTGACATTCCTTCTGAGACAGGCTAGTAAGCCAGGATACACCCAATAGGGAAACTGAAACAGATAGTTAAACAGCAGTTTGCAGCCACGTAGTAATTTGTCTTCCCTAAACCAGGGACACTAAGAGAAAATGGTTTATATTTCTCCCCCAACAGAGGGAAAATAGCTTAAACCTCCCTACTCACAGAGACAGCAGGAATTCTCCAACCATACCCAAGGACAGACGGAGTTAAGAGAATAAATCTCATTTTGGTACGTCAGCATAAAGTTGACAAGTATTCTATTAGGTCCTCCCCTAATTGCCCAGCCTTTAAAACCCCTCAAAAATCAAGGTCCACCATGAGCTCCCTCCCCTACTCCCTTCTTCCCCTACAGGCATGCATCTCCTGAACTCTACCAGACCTCAGTTCTTGTCTTCTTGAAGGAAATATTTCAATCAAGAGACAAAATGTAGAGAAGCGAGCAAGGATTTATTGACCAAAGTAAAAACACACTTAGGACAGTGGAACAAAGAAGGGCATGGAAGAAGCAACAGGAGAGTCTACACTGGGCTGCTTTGGCTCCCTGGGAAGTCAGAGAGAAGGGGGCCTCGGAGACAGGTTCAGAGGATTAGCCAGGACAAGCTGCCGCTGCCCATTGCTCCCGTGGTTGCAAGTGTCATGAATTCCCTTAGAGGTTTGGGGATACATGTCTGGGGGGGAGGGGGGGAGGGAATGGCACAGGCATGGTCCCAGAAGGGAGAGCACCCTGGGACTGAGCTGCTGCTTCCCATTACATCCCTGGTTGTAAGTCTCATGGTGTCCCTCAGATGTTTGGGTATACATGGCAGGAGGTAGGGGGGCGGAGAAGGGGGAGCACACAGGGACCTTAATTTCCAATCAGGCTGACAGGCAGGTGAGCAGTTAGGAGCCAGTGGTTCCGGGTTGTGAGAGGGATGTCCAATTGCCAGTTTAGGCAGGATTGGGCCTAAACCAGCAGTTGGACATCCCCCGAGGGGTCCCGGATTGGAGAGGGTACAGGCTGGGCTGAGGGGACCCTGGCACCCCGTGCATGAATTTCATGTACCCGGCTTATAGTTGTCTTATAAAACACGACGCCCAGTGCACGAAATTTGTGCATGGGGTGGAGGGTGTCCCTCAGCCCAGCCTGCACCCACTCCAATCTGGGACCCCTTGAGGAATATCTGACTGCCCGTTTAAGGCCTGATCCTACTGGGCGGTCGGACATCCCTCTCACAATCCAGGACTGCTGGCTCTCAACTGCCCTCCCCTGCAGGCCTGGGTCCTCCCCCCCCAGCTTCCCTCCTCTGCTGGCCTGGTCACCCCTAACTGCCCACAACTGCCCTCCCGAGTTGGTGATCTTGTGTCCACATGGGGTAGCCATCTTTGACTACATGGGGGTGGCCATCTTGTGTCTTGGAGTGATGGTCAATTTGCATATTACTCTTTTATTAGATAGGACTAGTAGTTTTTCCTATTGTCTTTTTAAAAAATATATTCTTATTGATTTCAGAGAGGAAGAGAAAGATAGAAACATCAATGATGAGAGAGAATAATTGATCGGCCACCACTTCCATGCCCCCTACTGGAAATCGAACCCGAAACTCGGGCATGTGCCCTTGACCGAAATTGAACCTGGGACCCTTCAGTCCATAGGTCAATGCTCTAAACACTGAGCAAAACTAGCTAGGGCTTTTTAATGGTTTTTAAATACGAGAGGAAAAACTAGAGCTACTATCTCTAAATCATCTAGGTTGTTTTCCTCTAAGACAAATAGTATTTTTTAAATATATTTTATTGATTTTTTATAGAAAAGAAGGGAGAGGGATAGAGAGCTAGAAACATGGATGAGAGAGAAACATCTACCAGCCGCCTTTTGCACACCCCCTACTGGGATGTGCCCGAAACCAATGCACATGTCCTTGACCGGAATCGAACGTGGGACCCTTCAGTTCTCAGACCAATTGAGCCAAGCGTTTCGGTGACAAATAGTATTTTTTTATTTCAGTCGGATTTTCAGAAATTGCCCGTCAGAATTTCAGAGCTAATTTACTATTTAAAATAGAATAATATTGGAGGTTCTTATTCCAACCTCTTTTTAAATCTCTTCATCTAGTTGGGAATGGTAGTAATTTATTGGAAAAGTGTCCGTGTTCTTATTCACTCTCTTCATCCCTGTAGGGCATTTTGAGTCACTGGACCTTGCAGAATATGCTAAGAAGCAGCCATGGTGGCGCAAGCTGTTCGGGCCAGAAACTGGGCCCTCAGCTGAAAAGTACAGCGTCGCAACACAGCTCTTGATCGGAGGGGTCACTGGCTGGTGAGTGATGTCAAAGATGTCCGGTGTCTTTGTTTACATGCTTTCATATCAGGGTGATAGGAATCACCTCCTCTAGCCAGTGAAAGCACGTTGGCTTCTGTGAAATAGATCACTTCATGTGTAGCATTCATCAAAACATATTAAAGTGCCATTTAGTGGTTACACAAATTACTACATACCATATAATCATTTCCTTCTCACAACTCTGAAATCGGTACTGTTAGCATCCATCCTCATTTCCCCCAGTTTTAGTGAGAAGTAATCTATACATATAAAGAGGTAATATGCTAATTTGGCCATTATGGTGTCCCAGTCATGACCAGTCTGTGGGTGGGTACAGGGTCGGGGACTTCCGTCCCCAGCACTAACGTCACGCTGCCTGCATGCGTCCCCATTCAGCACTGACGTGACGCTGAGGGGGGAGCTGGGCTTGACCCGGGACGTCAGGACGTGCCCCCCACCCCAGCACTGGGACGGGAGACCTTAGGCTGCGCCCCCCCCCCCCCCCCCCGGCACTGGGCCAGGAGACCTCATGACATGCCCCCTGCCCCATGGGATATGATGGGGGACCTCAGGCCACACCCTCTGCTCCAGTGCCAGGCCAGGACACCTTATGCCATGCTCCCCATCCCAGCAGGCAGGCCGGCCAACCACTCATGTCCCTTCCCCCTGGCCAGGCTGGCCACACTCCACCCATGTACGAATTCATGCACTGGACTATATATATATATATATATATATATATATATATATACACACACACACACACACACTGAATGGCCAAATTATGTGTTCAGAGATCATAATAATCTGGTCACTCAATGTATAAATGAGATAATACAGTATTTGTTTTTCTCTGTCTTATTTCACTTTGCATAATGCCTTGTAGGTCCATCCATGTTGTTGCAAATGGTAAGGTTCTCTCAATTTTTTAAGGCTAAATGATATTTCAGGTATATAATAGCTTTAGTATTTCATTATACACACACACACACACACACATACATATATATATATGTGTGTGTGTGTGTGTGTGTATATATATATATATATATATATATATATATATATATATATCATAACTGTTTTTGTGTATTTAACAGCCCATCAACTTATCTGATGTTGGTTTGGTTCTTGCAGGTGCACAGGTTTCATCTTCCAGAAGGTTGGAAAGTTGGCTGCAACAGCTGTGGGAGGAGGATTTTTTCTCCTTCAGGTCTGTATGTGAAATATTCCTAGATGTTTGGAAATCCCGCTTGCCAATAGGAATGTGGTATGAGGAGCTGTAATATAACCCTGCCTATATTACGCTAGAATAATCTTTGCACTTGTATACAAATGTATTATTTGAAATGCCAGCAGCCTTTGAGTCAGACTTCATCAATTACTAGTTGCATTTTATTTTCTCATTTATAATATGGGGACAAAAGTACCTATTTCTCCCTCTCACTCTAACCACGAAACAACACCAGCCAGGGCTCTTAACTTAAGACTTTTTTGAGAGGGGTAAGTGTATAAATAAAGTAAAAGAATTGTCAGGAGTCATTGAAGGGCTGTCTATTGGATTCTGGTGCCAGGCACAGGGCCTTGTATATAGGATGGATGCTGAATAGATGTGAGTGAATATCATTGTCTTACATGGTCCTGGATGGCAAATGTCTCCAAAAATGGAGTCAGAAGGGTTTTCGATAAAGCACTTCAGTGATTTTTTCCTGACAAAAAGAAATAACGAGCCTGTTTCTTATTTCTTGCTGTTGTCGAAACTATAGATTGCAAACCATACTGGCTACATCAAAATTGACTGGCAACGAGTAGAGAAGGACATGAAGAAGGCCAAGGAACAGCTGAAGATCCGCAAGAGCAACCACTTACCCACAGAGGTGAAAAGCAAAGCTGAGGAGGTGCGACTGGTTTTGTTTATGTGAAGGGTGCAGACAGTTTTGCATGTCCAAGAATGGGCCTACACATCTTATTTGTCAGCTTTGGATGGGATAGCTTCACCTCAGACATATAAAAAAAAAAAAAAAAAATATATATATATATATATATATATATATATATATATATATATATATATTTTATATTGATTTCAGAGAGGAAGGGAGAGAAAGATAAACATTGCTGAGCAAGAATCATTGATCCGCTGCCTCCTACACTCCCAAACTAGGGATGGAGCCCACAATCTGGGCATGTGCCCTGACCTCCTGGTTCATAGGTCAATGCTCAACCGCTGAGCCATGCCGGCTAGGCTCAGGCATTATTTTTAAACCTCACCCAGGGACATGCTTAGAGAGAGGGATGGAGGGAGAGAAACAGAAACAGAAAGAGAGAGCAACAGAAACATCAATTGGTTATCTTCTGTACATGCCCCGACTGGGAATCAAACCTACAACCTTTCAGTGCACAGGATGACACTCAACCAACTGAGCCACTCCAACCAGGCCAGAGACATTTTTTTTTTTAAAGTTGGGCGATTGAAGTGTTTGGTGGCTTGTCAGTGAGTGACAATGCAAAGTCATATGTGCCCATACATAAGTCCATCATCTCTTGAACTAGTTCTTGTAGGGATGGGGGCAATGCTGCAAGTGAGGAGGAGGATAAGGATGCAGATAAGGATAATCGTTTTGTATCCATGCATACAGAGATCGGCATTGTCCCTACATGACCAATTCTACATACACTGAGTGGCCAGATTATTATGATCTCTGAACACATAATAATCTGGCTATTCAGTGTATATCCTATATAATAAAAGACTAATATGCAAACTGTCCCCTCAACCAGGAGTTCTATCAGCAGGCAGGCTGGCGAATAGCCCATGTCCATGTCCCCTCCCTCTGGCCAGGCTGGCTGGACCCCACCCATGCACGAATTCATGCACCAGGCCTCTAACACACACACACACACACACACACACACACACACTGAGTGGCTAGATTATTATGCATTCAGAGATCATAATAATCTGGCCACTCAGTGTATAACTAGTAGAATGTCTAGCCTTAGGAGTGGCAACCTTTTCTTGTAAAGGGCCAAATGGTAAATATTTTCAGCTTTGTAAGCCATGTGGTTATAAATACTGAACTCCACTGTGTAGCACGAAAATAGTCATAAATGATATTCAGACAAAGTGGGTGCAGTTGTGATATGGGAGCTGATTTTGTTTTTAAAAATATATATTTTATTGATTTTTATAGAGGAAGGGACAGGGATAGAGAGTTAGAAACATCAACAAGAGAGAAACATCGATCAGCTGCCTTCTGCACACCCCCTACTGGGGATGTGCCAGCAACTAAGGTACATGCCCTTGACCAGAATCGAACCTGGGACCTTTCAGTCCGAAGGCTGACACTCTATCCACTGAGCCAAACTGGTTTTGGCTGGAAGTTGATTTTACAGCACACAACCAACTGGATTTGAACCATGGGGTGTGGTTTGCACAAAACCAGGTTAGGTTATATTGACTGGCATTGGAGGAACAGGAAACAATTCTCCTTTTTAAAAGGATGTGTTTTACTAATGCTTTATTAGCCCAGCTTGTGTGGCTCAGTGGTTGGGGTTGACCTATGAACCAAGAGATCACTGTTTGATTTCCAGTCAGGGCACATGCCCAGGGTTGTGGGCTCGATCCCCAGTAGGGGGAATGCAGGAGGCAGCCAATTATTGATTATCTCTCATCATTGATGTTTCTATCTCCCTTCCTCTCTGAAATCAATAAAAATATATTTGAAAAAGAGAAATGTCCCAAAGTAATAATTACACTGAACTGAAGAGAAATAAATGGCTGGCACCCTCCATAGCCTGGGGCAATGGGGTTCTGGGTTCACAGAGAAAGGGGAAGGATTTATGACTTAGTGGCAAACTGAACTAGGCCTTGTCTTTGAGTACTCACACACTGTAGCAATGACAGGAGAAAGTTATGTAATCAAATAGAATAGGTGGTAATAGGTGAACTTGGGTTAAACGTTGGCAGATTAAATATAGCAATTCTCTGCTTCCTTCTGAAATATATCTAAATAACAGCAACAAAATAAATTGGTTAAACCCACAAGGACCAACGGAACAGGAGAGGAATATCAGTAAACAACAAATGTCAGCAAATTTGGGGGAGTTGGAAAGCACAGAGCTGAGTGGTAAATGACTTAGCAGACTAGAAAAAGGCTGAACAGACCATTCTACATAGCCAGGTATATGAGGACAGTTTTTTTGTGTGTTATTTTTAATTGAGTTAAAGATTTTTGATTTTTTAAAATTAAATTAAATTAACTTATTTTTTAAAAATATATCTTATTGAATTTTTACAGACAGGAAGAGAGAAAGGGATAGAGTTAGAAACATCAAAGAGAGAAACATCAATCAGCTGCCTCCTGCATACCCCCTATTGGGGATGTGCCCACAACTAAGGTACATGCCCTTGACCAGAATCGAACTTGGGACCCTTCAGTCCACAGACCAACGTTCTATCCACTGAGCCAAACCAGTTTTGGCTTTTTTTTTTTTTAATTTCAAGAAAAACAATCTTTAGTAATGTTACATGCAGTAAAACATTAATGTCTAAAGAAAAATGATTTTAGCCTTGACCGGTTTGGCTCAGTGGATAGAGTGTTGACCTATGGACTCAGGGTCCCAGGTTCAATTTCAGTCAAGGGCATGTACCTTGGTTATGGGCACATCCCTAGGGGGGGTACGCAGGAGGCAGCTGATCGATGTTTCTCTCTCATCGATGTTTCTAACTATCCTTTTCCCTTCCTCTCTGTAAAAATCAATAAAATATATTTTAAAAAAATAAAAATAAAAATGATTTAGAATATAATGATGTTACATGTAGTAAACACCCATTATTTGAGAAAAACATTCTTAAATAATACTAGAGGCCCAGTGCACGAAATTTATGCACAAGGGGGGGAAGGTGTGGGGAGGGTGCACCCTCTCCACTTTGGGACCGCTCTGGATAACTGCAGTCGGACATCCTTCTCACAATCCAGAACTGCTGGCTCCCAACTGCTTGCCTGTCTGCCTAATTGGCCCTAACTGCTTCTACCTGCCAGCCTGAACTGCGCCCCTGCTGGTTTGATTGCCCCTAACTACCTCTGCCTTGGTCCCATACCTGGGACCCAGGATTCCCTCATGCAGCCAACCACAGGCATCTAGGATCGGGACTTCCCTCCGTCTGGTCAGCCATAGGCACCCAGGCTGGCTGCAGCCTCAGGGGATGGTGGGCATGTGGCTTTGCCTGGGTTGCAGCCACAGGTACTGGTGCCCGGGACTGAGGAGTGGGCAGCTTCTCTGTCTACCAGGTTGTAGCCAGCCGCAGGTGCTGGTGCCTGGTTGGCAGGTGGGTGGCTTTTCTGTCTTCCTGGGATGCAGTGGGGGTGACTTCTCCAGCTGGCTGCAGCCTGGGATCACAGGGTAGGCAGCTTCTTCATCTCCTGGGCTGCAGCTAGCCTGTTGCTGGCACCTGGTTTCTCGTCTCTGCCAGGACGTGGGGCGGTCGGCTTCTCCAGTTGGCTGTGGCCTGGGATCACGGGGAAGGTGGTATCTTCTCCCTGGCCATCCCCAGCCTCAGGCGCTGGGACCCATTTTCTGTCTCCCCCAGGACATGGGGCAGATGGGTGTGTTGCTTCTGCTGCTGGCTGTGGCCTGGGATCATGGTGTAGGTGGCTTCTTGGTCTCCCTTGCTGCAGGCAGCCTCAGGCGCTGGCGCCCAACTTCTCCAACTCCCACAGGCTCCAGGCAGTTGTGGGGCAGGGCTGTTGCCATCTTTTCACTTTACTTTGCATACTCACTCTGATTGGCTGTTGGGTGTAGCAGAGTGACGGTAATTTGCATGTTTCTCTTTTATTAGTATAGACTAGAGGCCTGGTACACAAAATTCGTGCACAGGTAGGGTCCCTAGGCCTGGCCAGCGATCAGGGCTGATCAGGTTCCCTCCTTCCCTGTCTCCTTCTTTCCTTGCCACCCATGCACTGCCACCACGAGGTTCCCCACCTCCTGGCCTCCCTGCCTCTTCGTTCACTTGGTCTCTCAGCACCCCCCACTGCCACTGGTCTCCCACCATGTTCCACACTGCCTCCTGGAAGTCGGTTCACATCATAGCAATCGAATTCCCAGTCTCCTGCTCAGACACCCAGGGGACAATTTGCATATTAGCCTTTTATTATATAGGTTTAAATGCAATAAACATTAATATTTCGCCTTAACCAGTTTGGCTCAGTGGATAGAGCGTCAGCCTGTGGACTGAAAGGTCCCAGGTTCAATTCCGGTCAAGGGCATGTGGTTGTGGGCACATCCCCAGTAGGGGGTGTGCAAGAGACAACTGATCGATGATTCCCTCTCATCGATGTTTCTAACTCTATCCCTCTCCCTTCCTCTCTGTAAAAAATCAATAAAATACATATTTTTAAAAATTAATATTTCAAGAAAAAAAGGATTTTAAGTATAGTAATATTACCAAAACTGTGTTAACATAGTATGATATCACAAACATTGTAGGAAATATTAAAAATCTGCATATGAGGACAGTTTTTGTATGGTGGCAGTTGGTTGGCAAAGCTGGTCTTTTACCCAAAGTAGGAGGTGGCATTTATGGGGGTTGAGGAGCCCAATACTTCCCTTTCGATCCCTCCTTCAATCCCTCTTCCTCAAGCTCACTTACACTTTTCTCATTTTTGCCAAAACTTTATATTTTAAAATGCATTTTTATTGATTTCAAAGAGAGAGGAACGAATTTCAGAGAGAGGAACATCCTTGATGTTCAAGTTAGAAACATCAACGATGAAAGAAAATAACCGATTGGCTGTCTCCTGCATGCCCCTAGTGGGTATCAGGTCCGCAACCTGGACATATGCCCTGATTGGGAATCCAGTTGTGACCTGGTTCATAGGATGACAAAGCCACTGAGCCACACCAGCCTGGCTGCCAAAACTTTATCATTCAAACAGTTATAAAACATGATTGTTGAAGAAAACTTCTTTAGTGGTACTGGAAGTATAATAAAACAAAGTATAAGGTAAATGTTTGATTAAGCCAACTTTTGACTCACAGAGGGAACTTGTAAAGTAACCAAAAGGTTGGGAATTGGTTTATTCCACAACTATTTGTATTCCTGTTAATGTCCTGGTTCTGTCACGTGCCTCAGGATGGTGGCCGGTTCCCCTCTCAGAGCTCCTCACAGTCTTATTTGGGAAATGAAAACAATACATTCAGCCAAAACCGGTTTGGCTCAATGAATAGAGCGTCGGCTTGGAGACTGAAAGGTCCCAGGTTCGATTCCGGTCAAGGGCATGTACCTTGGTTGCGAGCATATCCCCAGTAGGGGGTGTGCAAGAGGCAGCTGATCGATGACTCTCTCTCATCGATGTTCCTAACTCTCTATCCCTCTCTCTTCCTCTGTGTACAAAATCAATAAAATATATATATTTTTAAATTAAAAAAAACACCACAACAATACATTCAGTATTTTGCCAGAATGGTGACTTCAGTGAGAACACTTTTAGTGGGGTGGTGGCGTTGAAAGCCAAGCTATAGCAATTTGAGAAATGAGTAGGAAGAAAGAAAGTAAAGTAATGAATGAAGGCAATGATCCAGGAAGTTGTATGGTTTTTTTCCCATTCCCCCTGATGGCAGATGGCAAAGACAATGCCTCCAAGTAGGGAAGTATGAAGTCCAGTTGAGTTGGGATGGCAGGGGGAGTGAAAGTGACACAGGAAGACCTGGGACCAGTATGATGAGGAGGCTCTCGGGCCACAGGAGGATGGAGGAGTAGAGTAGGAAAGGTCAGAGGAAATTCAGGATGTGAGTGGCTTTGAGTGGTTGGGGGATGAAGTCATTGTACTTCAGTTCAGAAGAAATGATTAGGCCAGAAGGCTGGATGTGTTGTTTCCATGAAGACTTTTTAAAATCTTGTTCAAAGTATCACACTTGTCCCTCTTCTCCCCCCATTGATCCCTTCTAGCCCACCCACCCCCCAGGCCTTCATCATGTCTGTGTCCTTTGGATTATTCTTATGTGGATACAAGTTCTTTGGTTGATACTTCCCACCCTCCCACCTTTCCACACCTTCCATCTGAGAGTCCTTAGCCCATAAACACTTTTTAAAAAATGTTTTTTATTGATTTCAAAGAGAAGAAGGGAAGGGGGAGAGAGAGAGAGAGAGAGAAAGAGAGAGAGAGAGAGAGAGAAAGAGAGAGAGAGAGAAAGAGACATCAATGATGAGAGAATCATTGATCAGCTGCCTCTTGCACATCTCCTACTGAGGATTGAGCTCACAATCAAGACATGTGCCCTGACAGGGAATCGAACTATGAACTCCTGTTTCATGGGTCCATGCTCAACCACCGAGCCACACCAGCCAGGCCCCACTTTTTCCCAAAATATATATATTTTTATTGATTTCAGAGAGAGGGAGAGGGAGAGAGAGAGAAACATCCATGATGAGAGAGAATCATTGATCGGCTGCCTCCTGCTCACCCCCTACTAGTGATTGAGCTACATCCAGGGCATGTGCCCTTGATCATAATTGAACTTGTCCTCAGGCCGATGCTCTATCCACTGAGCCAAACCAGCTAGGGCCCCATGAACGCTTTTGAAGGTGGCGGTTATACTTCAAAGAAAGCTCTCTTACCAACATTCTCTCTGAAGTGGAGATTATAGAGCACACACATGGGAGCTCCAGATGAGTAGGAACTTGACTGGATGTAGGAGGCTTTGGGACCTTAAGAGAATAAGGACTTCATCTCTTAGTCATCGTCTGATGTAGTGAAGTGTGAGAATAAGAATACATAGCATCTAGCCCTAACCGTTTCGGCTCAGTGGATAGAGCATCGGACTGCGGACTCGGGGGTCTCAGGTTTGATTCCGGTCAAGGGCATGTACCTTGGTTGTGGGCACATTCCCAGTAGGGAGTGTGCAAGAGGCAGCTGAATCGATGTTTCTCTCTCATCGTTTCTAACTCTCTATCCCTCTCCTTTCCTCTCTGTAAAAAGTCAATAAAATATATATATATATATATATATATATATATATATATATATTTTTTTTTTTTTTTTTTTTTTTTTTTAAGAATACATAGCATCTTGAAATAAGGTGTCAGAGGGGGGTGGATGGATAGGATGGATGTAAGGAGAAATTTGGAGTTGAGATTCAGAGTGAGCAGCATCCACTGGACAGCAGGTAAAGAAAGTGGAAGGAGTGAAATTGGAAATCTTGAATTGCTCTAACCAGTTTATTGAACACAGCTCTAATCTTTCTCCATAAATGCCCCCATGAACTCCGTTCTTCCCTGTCCCTGTGTAAACTTTTGGGCGGATTCCTTGGATGTATTCCTAAAGACAGAGTCCATTAGTGCAGGAGGCAGCCAATCGATGTGTCTCTCAACATTGATGTTGCTCTCTGTCTCTCCTCTCTTCCAGTCTCACTTGATTTCACCTCCTCAGCCCCCGTATCACCGGTTATGTGGTCACACAAAGTCCTGTCTTGAAAACATCAGGGGAATTTCTTTTAAAAATATATTTTATTGATTTTTTACAGAGAGGAAGGGGGAGAGAGAGAGAGAGAGAGAGAGAGAGAGAGAGAGAGAGAGAGAGACAGACACGTCCATGAGAGAGAAACATCGACCAGCTGCCTCTTGCACACCCCCTACCAGGGATGTGCCCGCAACCAACGTACATGCTCTTGACCGGAATCGAACCTGGGACCTTTCAGTCCGCAGAACAACGCTCTACCGCTGAGCCAAACCGGTTTAGGTACATCTGGTGAATATTATCGCTGTGCACTAGCACCCCTGCCACCACCTTGATCCAGACACCTACCATCTCACCTCCTGATCTGCGTCCTGCTTCCTACTGGGCTCCCTGTAATTCTCCCCACAGCGGCCAGGGCTCTTTTTCACATGCAGGTCTCTTCATGGCTTCCCTTACCCAGAGATGCTGAAACCGGTTTGGCTCAGTGGATAGAGCGTCGGCCTGCGGACTGAAGGGTCCCAGGTTCGATTCCAGTCAAGGGCATGTACCTTGGTTGCGGGCATATCCCCAGTAGGGGGTGTGCAGGAGGCAGCTGATTGATGACTCTCTCTCATTGATGTTTCTAACTCTCTATCTCTCTCCCTTCCTCTCTGTACAAAAATCAATAAAATATATTTAAAAAGAAAAAAAAAAGAAAAAAGAAACATCGATGAGAGAGAGTCATCAATCAGCTGCCTCCTGCACACCCCCTACTGGGGATATGCCCGCAACCAAGGTACATGCCCTTGACCAGAATCGAACCCGGCACCTTTCAGTCCCCAAGCCGATGCTCTATCCATTGAGCCAAACCGGTCCCGGCTCATCGATGTTTCTAACTCTCTATCTCTCTCCCTTCCTCTCTGTACAAAATCAATAAAATATATTTTAAGCCGAGACCGGTTTGGCTCAATGGAAAGAGCGTCGGCTTGGGGATTGAAGAGACCTGGGTTCGATTCCGGTCAAGGGCATGTACCTTAGTTGCGGGCATATCCCCAGTAGGGGGTGTGCAAGAGGCAGCTGATCGATGACTCTCTCTCATTGATGTTTCTAACTTTCTATCTCTCTCACTTCCTCTCTGTACAAAATCAATAAAAAAATATATTAAAAAAATATATTTTAAAAAGATTACAGAGATAAGGGACAATCTATATATATAAATGTGTAATATGCAAATTGACTGGATGGCAGATCGTCTTGTCAGCTATGAAACACGCTGACCAGGGGACAAATGCTCAATGCAGGCGCTGCCCCCAGCCCACAGGCCCGGATCGCCCAATGGGCAACCGGGAACTGGGGGTGGGTGGTGGCAGTGCCAGGGCCCCATTGCTCCACACACAGAAGGCGACTGGCAGTGGGCAGGGCCATCTGCCAGCAGCCAGGGAAGATTGGTTCTGATCACAGGCCAGGCCTAGGGACCCTACCCACACATGAGTTTCATGGGCCAGGCCTCTAGTTAATAATAATAAGATCCTTAGCAATATAGCTTATTGCGCTGTCTCCTGTTTCCCAGATGGTGTCCTTTGTGAAGAAGAACGTTCTAGTGACTGGTGGATTTTTCGGAGGTTTTCTGCTTGGCATGGCATCCTAAGGAGGACTTCCCGGTTTCCGTTATTTCCGGTTTCTGTACCTAGATCAGCCTCTACACTCCACCATAGGACATCGAGTCTCCTCCTTCTCTTCTCCTGTGCCTTCCTCCCTGCTGTAGCATATCTGAATGGCTTCTATAGGCATCTGTTGATACGAACTGATAATGACCCTACTGTGAGCCTCAAGACAACATCGGAAGAGACAATAGATTACCTATCCTCCCAAAACACTCCCCACTGACTGAGCTAGAGCATAGGGATGTTCCTTTCCCCCCGACATCAGATACTTGCTAGCACACAGTGCGATATAGCTCACTGCGGAGGATAAGTGGATACTCAAAGGTGCCCAACTTGAATTAGAACAGGAATAACCAGCGCATAGATAACCTTATAACGTGCGGCATGGAAAGGAACTGAATACATCTGCCTTTGAGCGTGAAAGATTTTGGGTGTCTACTTTCTTTTTGAGTTGGCTTTGATTACAGAAAGGGAGATGTTTATAACTGTTACAACTATCCTGACAAAATGGTGGCATAAACCCATTGAAAAGTTATGGATGTAGAATGAACTTGTGCTCAATATGTATGATGAACTGAAGATACAGTGTTTGGTGGGAAAACCTTGAGGGAAATCATGATACATCATTGGATAATCAGACGTAATGAATGAATCATTTGGGGGCATTAAGATGTTATCCGGGGATGGGGGTTTCCACCATACAGGATAATGCATCTCATGGCTATTCCCAAAGTGTGTATTTATGGTCAAATAAATAACTAGCTGGGATGGGGAAGCTCTTGGATTTTTATTTCATACACTTTTAAGCTTTGAAATGTGAAGTATTCTTTTACTTCGTGGCAAAGCATTAGGGGTGGTTGACTCCTTTGTGCCAATTCTGTTTCTTTATCCAGTTAGTATAAAACAGGTAACATTTGAACCAGTGTTAAAGAGGTAGCATCCTTGTCCTGGCGGGTTTGGTTAGAGTGTCAACCCATGGACTGAAGGGTCCCAGGTTCAATTCCGGTCAAGGGCATGTACTTGGATTTAATGCTCCATCCCCAACCCTGATAGTGGCAACTGTTGGAGGCAACCAATGGATGGGTCTCTCTCACATGGATGTTGCTCTCTCTCTTTCTCTACCCCTCCCACTCTCTAAAAAGCAATGGGAAAATATCCTTGGGTGAGTACACAATAAAATAAAAAGGTAGCATCCCAGGTATTCAGAATTGAGAATGGTGGCAATAACACATGTGAAATAAATTATTTCCATTGTGACTGACTCTTAGAATTATTCCTTAAAACAAAAGCTTAGCCTTAGCTGGTTTGGCTTATTGGATAGGATAGAGCGTCAGCCTACGGACTGATGGATCCCGGGTTCAATTTCGGCCAGGGGCACATGCCTGATCCCTCCCAGTGGGGGACATGCAGGAGGCAGCTGATCAATGATTCTCATCGTTGGTATTTCTATCTCTCTCCCTTCCTCTCTGAAATCAATAAAAAATATTTTTTAAAAGTTTATAGACACACATAGGCTTAGAGTCTTAGTGCATTTTGCTGTAATGGACTGATAACCACATATGCAGCCCTATCTAGAATAGCTGCTTCTAGAGGGCAAGGCTTATGTGTTCACCATTATACCATGGAGACTAACACCCTGTTTCCCCGAAAATAAGACCTAGCCCATGGAAAGATAAGACATCCCCTGAAAATAAGACCTAGCGCAACTTTGGGAGAAAAATTAATATAAGACACTGTCTTATTTTCAGGGAAACAGGGTAGTAGATACTCACCATTTCACGAATATATGAAAAATGGCCTCATACAAAGGTATCTGGAAAAGGGGCTGATGCAAAGGTTGAGACTTTATTTTTTTTTTATTTCTGTTTCTTAATGAATTAAGACTTTATGAGTTCTGAGAATACAGAAAACTTGGAATTTGTTTTTTAAATATGTTTTTATTGATTTCAGAGCATAAGGGAGAGGGAGAGATAAGAACATAAATGATGAGAGAGAATCATGGATTGGGTGCCTCCTGCACACCCCGTAACAGGGATGGAGCCCACAACCTGGGCTTATGCCCTTGACCAGAATCAACCTGGGACCTTTTAGTCCACAGGCTGATGCTCCATCCACTAACCCAAACGAGCTAGGGCTGGAATTTGTTTTGAAACTTGCAGTTAATCCCTTGCAAAATGCATGATTTTAAGGCCTTTCTTAAAAATGTTTGCCTTTTAACGTACCCTGGGAATGGTATATTGAATGTGGAAATTGTAGCAGTGGATTTGTGGAACTTATTAGAATTCATCCATTTGCTCTACTCATCTGCTGATGGGCAATCAGGCTGTTTCGAAATCTTGGCTATTATAAATTGTGCTGCTATGAACATAGGGGTGCATATAACCTTTTTTTAAAAGAATATATTTTATTGATTTTGTACAGAGAGGAAGGGAGAGAGATAGAGAGTAAGAAACATCGATGAGAGAGATTCATCGATCAGCTGCCTCTTGCACACCCCTACTGGGGATATGCCGGCAACCAAGGTACATGCCCTTGACTGGAATCGAACCCGGGACCCTTCAGTCCCCAAGCCGACGCTCTATCTATTGACCAAACCGGTTTCGACCATATAACCTTTCTGATTGGTGCATTTTTCTTCTCACATTATGGTAACACTTTATGGCAGCTTAAGTTATTTTGCTTGCAATGTTTATAAATCATCCCCAGTAGTAATACTATGAGCCTCTTTGTTGCATATTTTTATACAAGAACTTAAAATATTTTCACTTTTTATTATGGAAGCTTTCAAATATATACAAAAATAGAGAAAATGATACACTTTATCCCCTATGTATCCATCACCCACCTACAATGGTAATCAAATTATAGCTTGTTTTATGATTTATTTTGAAATAAATACCAAATATGTCATTTTATATTTTAGTATATATCTCTCAAAGGAAAGAGCTCTTTAAAAATCATAAATCCAATACCCTATTATATAAAAAATGAACAATCCCTTAATTGCATCAAATATGTAGTCAGTGTTCAAAGTTCCCTCTCAAGTTTTACATTGGGTTTGTTTGAATCAATCCATATAAGACATCCATTTGGATGTCTCAAGTCTCAGTCTTATATGTTCTTTATATTTTGACTTCCAGTATATTTATTGAAGAACGGTTATTTGTTCCCTAGTTCCCCCCCATTCTGATGCCTGGGTACCGGGGTTATGCCAAATATGGTAAGGCTGAAGCTTTTTTTTTTTTTTTTTTTTTAATATATTTTATTGATTTTTAACAGAGAGAAAGGGAGAGAGATAGAAATGTTGATGAGAGAGAAACATCAACCAGCTGCCTCTTGCACACCCCCTACCGGGGATGTGCCCGCAACCAAGGTACATGCCCTTGGCCGGAATCGAACCTGGGACCCCTGAGTCCGCAGTCCGACGCTGTATCCACTGAGCCGAACCGGTTTCGGCAAGGCCGAAGCCTTTTATGACTACTCATGTGACTCACCCAGACCAATGGAATGGTGACTGTGAAACCCAATGAAGTGCACTGTGCATCTTTGGGTTGCATTTGGAGAGTGGCCACTGAATGCCTCTCCAGTAAGCTGTTGGTTGCCTTTTTTTTTTTTTTTTAATATATTTTATTGATTTTTTTACAGAGAGTTAGAAACATCAATGGGAGAGAAACATCGATCAGCTGCCTCGTGCACACTCCCCACTGGGGATGTCCCACAACCAAGGTACAAGCCCTTGACCGGAATCGAACCTGGGACCTTTCAGACCTCAGGCTGATGCTCTATCCACTGAGCCACACCGGTTTCGGCTGTGGGTTGCTTTTTGTCCATCTGTTTTTTATCTGATTATCGTGATGACAACAAAGGTTAGCAGGTTGATCTAAGCTTCTTTGGGTTATAATCTTAATAATAAAGACCCAGGTTGAAACGACTGCTAAGGACGAAAAGCTGACCATGGGGGAAGTCAGTGCTGGATTGCCTAGCACTGACTGCCCAGGTGGCTGAGACCCAGAAAGTGATTGGGTCTGATCTGCAGTCTCAGTGGAAGCTGTTGATCAGTGTACTTACCTCTTTCTTTCCCTCTTTCTGATTTTCGAATAGCAAGGCTTTTCTCTATGGACTGCTATTAAGCCCCGCCTCTTTGATAAGGCCCAGAGATAGGTTTGTAGATGCTGACTGCCATAGGAAATTACCAATCAGAACCAAAGGTGTGTAGTGTGGGGAACCAATGGCTGCCTAGGAGGTGGCGCTTCTGACGCTGACTGGCAAGAGAACTGACTAATCAGAACCAAAAGGTGGGTGCTGTAAGGAACCAATGACTGTCTAGGAGGCAGAACTTCAGGCACTAACTGGCATAGGAACCGACCAATCGGAAGCACAAGTGGGTGCTGTAGGAACCAATGGCTGCCTAGAAAGTACAGCTTTTGAAACTGACCAATGAGAACGAAATATAGATGCAAAAGGTAGCCAATGGCTGACGAGAAGGCAGAGCTTTTGACACTGACTGGCATAGAAACTGACCAATGAGAAGTTTTGGTGCTGTGCGAAACCAATGGTTGCCTAGGAGGCAGAGCTTTTGATGCTGACTGGCATAGGAATCGACCAATCAGAACCACAGGTGGGTGTGGTGGGGAACCAATAGCTGCCTAAGAGGAGGAGCTTATGATGCTGACTGGCATAGAAACTGATGAATGAGAACAAAACATTAGTGGATGGATAACCAATGGCTGCCTATGAGGCAGAGCTACTGCACTGACAGGCATAGGGACTGACCAATCAGAACCAAAGGTGGGTGCTGTGGGGATCCAATGACTGTTTAGGAGGAGGAGCTTCAGATGCTGAGTGGCAAAGGAACTGACAAATCGGATGCCCTAGTGGGTGCTGTGGGAACCAATGGCTGCTTAGGAAGAAGAGCTTGTGAAACTGGCATAGAAACTGACCAATGAGGGCAGAAGGTAGCCAGTGGCTGACAAGGAGGCAGAGC